CGCCTGGGCGGCCCCCGCCGGGGTCTCGGCCGCAAGCGTGCACGTGCGCGGCCCAGGCCGGGCGCAGCAGGCCGGGACAGGAGGTGGGTGCTCGCGGGCTGGGGTGGGGAGCCCGGGAGGGGCACTGTACGGGCCAGAGCCCCCTGTCCCCTTGCTTGCCGCAGCCCTTTGGAGCTCGAGGTGGTCGAACTAGAAATGATTTCCTGGTTTGCGCATCGGGCCACGCGGGCAGACTTTCCGTGCAGCCGCCGGCGCTGCCTTGCCTGGGGCAGGGACAGGTTTCTGTCCACCCTGCTCTGCAGCACGGTGGACAGACCGCGCCTGGCGGAAGACGGACCCGGTGGACCCCGGCCACCGAGCACCTCCTCTCCGCAGGGCGAGGCGGTCGGGGCTGCTTCCCCCACCCCGTCTTGCCTCTGACCTCCCGGGATTCTCGCTGCGCGCTCGCTTCGGTCTCCTCGGTTGGACGCGCTTCCCCCGCTGGAGCTGGCTCTGCCCTGCAAGCCGCAGCTTGCTGCCCGCCAGGAGCGCGTTCGGAAAGCGAACGAGGTGCAGAACCCTAGGAAGGGAAGGGGCAAGCAGAGTGCCCAGTTTTAGGCGAGTTTTCCATGCAAAGGACTCTCAGTCCCCGGCCCGTGAGACGAGTGTCCGGTCCCGCAGGTTAGCAGACCTCCCGTCCGATCGCCTGGGAAACAAGCACCTTAAAGGAAGGTCATTTGCTTTAGGTACAAAACATTTTTAAAACGAAACCTTAGACTGTAACATTTTAGAAATTGTAAGGCTCTCACAAACGGTCCGGTGCAGAGTTCCGGGCTGGATTCTTTTTTTTTTTTTTTTTTTTTTAATTTTTGTCTTTTTGAGACAGGGTCTCGCTGTGCAGTTCAGGCCGGCCGTGAGCTCACTTTGTAGCTGGTATCGAACTCGCAACGATACTCCTGCTTCAGCCTTCCGAGTGCTGGGATTACAGGCGTGTGCCGTGACGCCCGGCCCGAGCTGGATTCTGAAGGGCATCTCTACTGTGCCCGCGCTGGGATAGGTTGTGTGGTTAGAGGTGCCTAGCAAAGGCCTCGGGGAGTTTAGCGCGGGAGGATTTAAAGTCTTTCCTGTTAATTCCCGAAGACCAGGCCCGGTGTGCTGAATAAGAATAAGGTTTTGGGGTGAGAAAGTCTTGGGTTCCTGTCTGGGCTCCAGGTCTCACCCTTGACTTCAGAGCTCAGAGCTGGATTCCTCATTCTGAAGGGGAATTCCTGGGAGCAGGAAGGAGCCGGCGGAAAGAGCGCGGGTGATGCAGATCGAATCACTAGAAAATGATACCGCGGGCTGTGGCGGCAGAGGCCGGCGGGCAGACCCCGTAATCACTCCTGGCCTCACCCAAAGGGGCAGCGAGACAGTAAGAGGCAGATGAGGCGCGTCCTTGGGATCATTCTGGTTACAAAACCACTGGTACGACTTACTCCTGCACTCCTGAATTTGACTCAAACGTACTAAATGTGCCCTAGACCTGCTCGGATTTGCAATAGGCAGTCTATGGATTTGCAATATTAGCTTATCGGTTGAGTGTGTTTTGAGGTTCTCTTCTTGCTTGTGAAAGTGCCATTTGAAGTGAACACACCCCTGGTGCTTAGCTGTTGCTGACTGTAAAAATAACGTTCCTCAGATGCCATCGTAGTCCGCGGCCTGACGCTGATCTGGGAGGCTGAAGGGAGAAGCTGGGTCCTGGAGTTAATGTTTCACTTGGCAGTTGTAGCTCAGGGTGTTAGCGGGCCGGTGGCACCCACGCTGGTTAGCGACTGGCGGCACTGGCCCCCCGCCCGGCCGGCCGCTGAGGGATCCGCCTGGCATGAGCCCGGCAGCGGGAGCGACCCTGCCTGCCTCCCCTGTGGGCGTCGCTGCTTCTCAGTGCTGGCCTGAGGAAAACAGCACTTCTCAGGAGCTACTGCTGCAGAATAAAGTGGGGAAAAATGATGATTTTAGTCATTTGAGTGGCTTTTGTTGTAAATCTTTCAAGCAGCCCTCAGTGGTAGTAGCATTTGTTTGTTTCAAAGAGAGAGGTGGCAATCTCAATTTTGTTCAAATTCTGCCAGTTTTGGATTCCCATACTCCTACTGCCCTCTGAAACATTTCGGTTTTGATATGAGTACTTTTTCCCCCTGGCTCCCCCAGTGAAGGGAAAAGGGCAGGTGTGAAATTCCCATCCCACTTGCACTTTGTTTTACATATATACATATATAGAT